TAAAAGTGACTTTTTGGGAAAACTAAATTATTCGGACTTTAATACTAATTCCCAGTATAAGGTTCTTATCGAAAATATTTTGAGACTAAACGTCCTCTGAACGATTTGGGTTACTTTGTGTTTTAAATTGATTTATGCTTAAAATATCACACCCTTATTGGTTGGACTTATATGAAAAAGTGTTGCAAGTCTTTCATTAGTAGTGCGGCACAGTCAGATAACTCTGCTGTCGGAGTGAAATTCCGTGATGAAATTTTAACATTTTGCTGTGTTTATATTTTTTTAAAGAAAGCACATGCAGTCCTGTAGAACATCTAGGATTGTAAACCAAACGTTTTTCTACAAAATGAGACGTATCGAGACTCTGTACGTTTTTTGTTTAAATAATAAATGGTAAACATTAAATGCTACTTTCCCGAAATGAAGCTTGAGAAGTGTGTTTTGTGTTTTCCTTTTCTTGTTAAAACAAAAAAAGCGTACAGAGCCTCCAGACGTCTCATTTTGCAGAGAAACGTTTGGTTTACAATCCTGAATATTCCACAGCATCGCACATGCTTTCTTTAAAAAAATATAACACAGAAAAATGTTAAAATTTCGTCACGGAATTTCACTCCGAGTTATCTGACCGTGCCGAGTGGGAATCTTCTTTCAACTTTAGTTTTCTCAACATACTAGCGAGATCCTGTAAATCTCGGGCAATTTGTTGGTCACCGACAGCACATTTTTAAGCAATTCAGTCAAAAGTATCAAGTATACTCCTAATGTCTCCATCCCTTCCTCTGTTCGAGGCATTTGATTGTATCACTCTTTATCGAAAAAATAACAGAGATGCAGACACTAGACATTGTATGCAGATGCATAAGGATGTAATCGGATACGGTGATGACGAATAGCGTAGTTAAAAATACTGAAAATACTTTGAGAAACTTCTGCGTTTTTCAAAGGGTATTTTGACAAGATGCATTTCACTTTTCATCATCTATCATCGTTGATCTATTTGGTTCTATGTATACCTTAAACAAAATTCTTTTATACGTAAAGAATGTATGTTCGACTGACTCAAAACAGAACTGAGTCGATAAAAGTTGAATTTGCTCTTTTCATCGGTAATAAATGCGTGTATCTATAAGCAGAAAAATAAAATACAATGGTAAATGCATTTAATAATTTTGGGATTGATCTGCAATAAAAACTTTCTTAATTCGGACGGTTCAGTAAGATTGGAGTGATCATTTTTCACTGTGGATCGATTAAGATTGGTACATATTCATGTCTGTAGATCTTTAATGACAAGCTTTACTTGTGATCTCTTATAGGCACAAGTTTAATGTACAAAGAACTACTTAAAACAACACCATCATCAATCAATTTTGTTCTCCATGATATAAATATAAAACAAATATTAACATCAAATCCGCAACAACAAATATTGTACAAATTTCCAACTTTTAGTACAAATATTGATTCTATTATGACAATAAAAAAACCAAATGATATAGTTTTAACAGTTGAATCAAAAATAGATTATTTTTATTATTTTATTAAACAACTTAATGAATGGATGGAATGGTTTGATAAATTCATTGATATTATTTATCCAATAATTGAATGGTTAAGGGATTATCACGTTGATGGTGTAAATCAATTAATTCTAGATCTACACAATAAAAATGATAAATCAACATCGCTTATTCAGGTTAAACAAATGGTTGAGAAAACATTAAAATTATTAAAATCATTTAGTGATTTACGTCGTTTATGTTATTTATTTAATTGTTTAACAAAATTTCAAATTATCAACAATGGTACAATAAATAATCAACAACAAATACAAGATTATATTAAAGAATTA